AGGTCGAAAGTCTCAGATATCGGGCCGTATATCTTCCACCACTGAAATTTCGAATTTCTTCGAAAAAAGTGCTGAGAGGGGTGGCTTGCAACCTCGATATGGCATGTTCCAGGCATGCTTTGGAGCCATCTTCTGTTGAAGTAGTGGCAGGGATCTGCCCTGCAACTGCTACAACAAAAAATGATTCGATCTGAGAAAGGGTGAGACCGCGAATCTCGGTTGAATATTGAGTATTTCAAGCCTTTTCACGACGAAGATGGAGTTCTTTTTGGAGATGGACGTCGCGGCAAAGGACATGGTGTCCGACTTCTGGCGTCTGGTGAAGCCAGGGATCATTTGTCCAGTCAGGTCGGCAGCCCAACCGTCGGTAAGCTTGTGTTTGGATCCCGTTCTGCTCGATGTGGCAGATCACAAACAATTTTATATCGCACAAATTGATCTCAGCATCGTGCGTACGGTATTTTATATTCAGAAAATCCCAAAGTGTCTCTGTGTGGCCGTCCTATGCCACGAGAAACTCCAATCAGGCTCCTATGTCCTCTGCCTTCATGATTGAATGTCCACTTCGTTTGAACAACGAACACATCAATCGAGGAGGGCTTTGCAACGAAAAATACAGCTATACTGGAGCTGAAAAAAGAAAGAAAAAACGTGCTCAGGATGAGACTCGAGTACACGCATACTCTCCCAGCAGGTGAAACGCAAATTTTTGTGAAAAATGCGTGACGCCGACTGACCAGTAATTTCGCCTGACGCTGTTGTGGCCCCTGCCACCCTGCCCCTGCCACCCTCCCGGCACCTGGATACCCCGCTATCCTGCCACGGCACATCGTCCAGTCGTCTTCGTCTTCGTCCTGGCCTTAAAGGGGAAGTTAAGGCAAAAATTAAAATTTCACCAGTTGTAGTCTTCGGGGTGCTGAGTCGAATGGTCTTGGCCCGAGAAAGCTGAGACGCTCCCTTCCTACTTGAATCCCAATCGAACTCGCGCACTTCCACCGAAACTGGGTGACTGCGCCCTACTAGATGGGGATTTGTATGCAAAATGTCACTAAAAGCGCCATTTCGTTCTTATAAAAGCACGGATGACCGCGATTGGCCCATATGTTGTAGTCTTTTGGACGCTGAGTCGACTGGTTTTGGTCCGAAAAGGCTGCGATGCAGCGTTCCTCCTTTATTCCCAATCGAACATGGTTGAACAAGTGGTCACGTGCTCCTGGGTGCCCAAATCACCTGGTCACCACGCCAGCAGGCGACAACTTTCACACCAAGGTTCAACTCGAGTGACAGGACTGCACCCAAAAAAGGTCAAACAGGCTAGTAAGTTGTACCCTGCAGGCACGGTGACCAGGTGACTGGCGTACGCAGGAGCACGTGACCGCTTGTTCAACCATGTTCGATTGGGAATAAAGAAGGAACGCTGCATCGCAGCCTTTTCGGACCAAAACCAGTCGACTCAGCGTCCAAAAGACTACTCCCAACAACCTGCACGTGCACCCGCTGGACCCTCCAGCTCAAGCCCGCCGGTACACATCCTGTACGGTACACACGCACATGCTGGCAGTGCCAGCCAGCCCAGTGCACACACTGCACAGCAACCTAGCACTGAAGTCCCGCTACACAAACGTTTGTGTAGCGGGACTTCTCCTCGCGCCAAGCTCAACTTCTGCGATGGCCTGCGATGGCCCAGTTGCGGCAGTTGCGTGGGGTGCGACATGGCTGCGATTTGGGGTTTTCCCGGTTTCGCGTCTGTCGCATCGCGTGTCGCATCGCAAAAAACCTTCTGTGAATCCCGCTTTATGGCCGAAAATGTGCCCTGCAAGGAAAGATTTTTTTGTTGCACGCTGTCATTTGTTGGCAGCACTGTATTTGAATGTGAGCAGACCGTGCGGGTTCGAATCCCAGGTTATAAAAACAAAAAGTAGAAATTTATAAGAATTTAAGAACATCCCTATGCTTTTTTTGTCTAGGTCATCAAGTCAAAAAAGCATAGCGTAGGCCGCCGTAGGGCCCTGAGCTTCCAAGCTCTCTCGTTTGAACACTCGTCGAGGAGATAGAAAACGTAAAATGGGGATGAATAAAACAAATTATGCAGTACATGACTGTAAGTACTACTTCATGTACATGTACGATGGTGAGCCAAGGAAAAAGATTTTTTTCATTATAGTCAAGTAAGCCAATTTGGTTACCGAGCGTTTTCCTTCCCTTCTCATCATGGGTAAGTAAAATGGACAATGGAAAAATGTCAAAGTACAGCAATTTATAGAGCTACAGCAAACGCATAGATCGAGAACCTCACGCTATACGTGTGGAAAAAAATAAAATTCAGCAGAACAGGTCAAACACAGGGTGAAGGTGAAGAAATCACTAAAACATAATGAAAACATCAGTGAGGAGAAGCATTCCCGACACTTTCACGAGGATTTCCCCGTAAATTGTCCCCTGAACTATGTGTTCAGAAGGAAAATGTTTTGTCACTTCAGTTGTTTGGCGCTAATCCTCTTGAAAGAGTCGGGATTCTCGGGAATGCTTCTCCTCACTGATGTTTTCATTATGTTTTAGTCATTTCTTCACCTTCACCCTGTGTTTGACCTGGTTCTGCTGAATTGCATTTTTTCCACACGTACATGTATAGCGCGAGGTTCTCGATCTTTGCTTTTGCTGTAGCTCTATAAATTGCTGTACTTTGACATTTTTCCATTATTCCCTGTACTTACTCATGATGAGAAGGGAACGAAAACGTTCGGTTACCAAATTGGCTTACTTGACTGTGTGAATTGCGTCGGTGCTGACACCTTTTCTTTCGAAATTGGATACGCCTCCATTTTTTCCTTACATTTTTCATTATAATTATATACAATGGGAACAAGGAAAACGGTGGGGCAAGTGAGTTAGTTATAGTCCACCAACTAAACTAGTTTTTTCCCTTATCGTACCAAGCCAGCTTTCCACTGTACCTTGGAATGTAACTTGTGTTCGGCCTGCCGGCGTTTACCTGCCCCTCGCTCTTTGGAATTATCACAGATATCCATGAACCTTCCAAATAATTAGTTGTAGTTGGAAGGCCGTTGGTTAGCGCTATTGAGCAGTGCTGAAGCTCACTTCCTTGTCGTGGAATGTCTCAGTACTCCTTGTCAGTCTGGTAATACCTTGTGCACGTATGACTGTTCAAAATCTGGTTTAGTTGGTGGACTCTAACGCATTCCATTGTGCCTGGGAATTAAGCTTGTGCTCGGCTTGATAGCGCTTACCTTCCCCTCTTTGGATTTATCACTAATATCGATGAACCTTCCAAGTTTGAAGGCCGTAGGTTAGTGTTATCAAGCAGAGCTCAAGCTCACTTCCTGCCCCTCTTTGGAATTGTCGCTAATATTTAATGAAACTTCCAAGTTGGAAGGCCGTTGGATACATATTAAAATCCAGCACCGAGAATCGCAGACATTATCATCAAACTTTCCGTTAAGATTCTTGGCAGGGAGCCTTCCTTCCATTTTGCAAGTACCTGGAGGCGATAGATGTCCAGAGCGAGAATCCGAGAGATAACAGCGACAAAGGGTGCCGACTACGACTATTGCCATAAGGAAATGTACCACTCCCCCCGGTGAGTAACATTATGGAGAGCTGAGTTGCAAAAAACCCTTTTCAAGTGCCAGTAAATGAGATGCAGATTCGGATTTATTTTTATTTTTACTATGTTCACATTCCCAGCTCGAAGATAATAAAGAAAGACAATGGTACTAAGACCAGGACGATTGTGACATCTATTGAGCAGGGGCTGCGCCGAGACGCAGCAGTGATGGTGGGGCATTGCTGGCTCTGCCGACCTGAGGTCTCGGCATCACGGCCAAAAACACGCACCAAAAAACAAAAGATAGAGCTACGAGTCAGCAAAGTGAACAGAAAGGAAGGGTTAACACCAGCGAGTGTGCGGGAGAAGCTGTGAGACTATTAACAATTACAAGGGTTGTGAGTCTTGTGACTGAGAGGAGCATCATCATGGCTGATCATGACCGCAGTCGATTGTCCGAGCCAGTTGTGGTGCATAGAGATAGACGAGAGCAACATCATAGCGAGTCGACTGCCCAGAGCCAGTTTGTGCTTCGCAGATGGCGATAAACGTTCGTTTTGAACGCTTGCATTCCCTTGCTGTGGGGAGGCTGGGACAAAAGAGCGGCGGGGAGGGAGTTCCAGTCACTAATACTGCAGTGCAGGAACGAGCGCTTCAATGCCAGCGGTACAGATGTGGGCGGGTCAGTGGCACCCCGGTTGGTGTCGAATCTCCCCAAGACTGATTTGTACAGTACTATCTCGGACGCGCGCACACACACACACACACACACACACACACACACACACACACACACACACACACACACACACGCACACACACACACACACACACGCATACACACACGCACATACACACATACACAAGACCCAACGCTCGGAACAGCCACCTTCCTTACCCTTTAACCGTTTATTAACGCCGAAGTCGGGGCATCTTAGCTCACACGTACACCTACAGCTACAATAATCACAATAAATTATGTACTAGGTGAAGTGCGAGAAAGCCCAGCGGACAGCAGCTGCCGCCATGACACTGTCTTCCAGCTTTGACAGCCTAGCCGCTTGATGAAGCATCCTGGCATGCCGGCAGTCATTCTGGTGCCATATCTGGTGTCATATCTGGTATGTGTCATTATAGGCTTATAGCACATGACAGATTTTACTTGCATGTGGAAGCAAGCATGATGCATAACACAGTGCTGTACTACTAACATTGTCCAAAATGTACATGCAACTGGAGTTGATTGGCGCATGGTACGAATCGATATCGACATGTCTCATAATTCCCCCGGACCATGGCATGTGTGCATGCAGTGCACGCTCCGGAATATCATTGCAAATGCTCAACGCGCCGTGGATGCATGACCTTGCAGATTTGTAGTACAATGTAGCTGATCATGCGCGCGTACAGATCGCGCGATAGGGGAAAGTTACATCACGGGATAGACGCGAGGAGTCCTGGTCCCTCGGCTAAAGTCGTTATGAGGAGGACTACTGTCATGGCGTTCATAACGCGCTAGAACTGCACAGCGGCAATGAAGGCAAAGTGTGTTGAAATAGAGAAGACGAAGATAGGTAGAGGAATACTAGTACTCAGCGAGTGCGAGTGAGCGCTTAGGTAGCGGAGGGCGTGATCAAAGAAGAGCAGGAGAACCTCCGTCGGCTCGTCCAGGATGGCGTCTGTCTACGGCGGGATTGCTTCGCCTCTTCATCGTCTTCGTGATTCTGTCAATGGTGATGCAGGATGCTGAAGGATGGGTTTCGCCGGAGACGGCGGCGTTGCGTTACAAATGGCTGGCAGTCAGGGCAGCGTGTAACGTTAACTGTGGATTCGGCACGAGAAAACGGTGAGTCAGGGCTCAGGAGTATTATCCTCCTCCTGCTTCTCCCTCCACTCCCCCCCCTTTCTCTCTCTCTCTCTCTCTCTCTCTCTCTCTTTCTCCTCTCTCTCTCTCTCTCTCTCTCTCTCTCTCTCGCTCTTCTCTCTCTCTCTCTCTCTCTCTCTCTCTCTCTCTCTCTCTCTCTCTCTCTCTCTCTCTCTCTCTCTCTCTCTCTCTCTCTCTCTCTCTCTCTCTCTCTCTCTCTCTCTCTCTCTCTCTCTCTCTCTCTCTCTCTCTCTCTCTCTCTCTCTCTCTCTCTCTCTCTCTCTCTCTCTCTCTCTCTCTCTCTCTCTCTCTCTCTCTCTCTCTCTCTCTCTCTCTCTCTCTCTCTCTCTCTCTCTCTCTCTCTCTCTCTCTCTCTCTCTCTCTCTCTCTCTCTCTCTCTCTCTCTCTCTCTCTCTCTCTCTCTCTCTCTCTCTCTCTCTCTCTCTCTCTCTCTCTCTCTCTCTCTCTCTCTCTCTCTCTCTCTCTCTCTCTCTCTCTCTCTCTCTCTCTCTCTCTCTCTCTCTCTCTCTCAGCAACGGAGGGTCTCCAGACCAAACTGTAATAGTGGGTGAATGATGTCCACCTCGGGGATAAAAGGAGCCAACTTTGCGCGAAATTGGAAATTTGGCCATGTCGGGTGATGTTTGGTCGTTAGCGTTACAGACATTACGCTCTGCCTTTGTGGTGTTGAGCACTGTCAAGCACTCTGGGTACATCCTTCGGTGAATTAGCTCCCACTTCCCGTGGTAGAGCACTCTTACCTTAGCTGTGCTACCCCAACAATGGACACCCCAGGCGCGTCAACCTCGGATACTCTCTGAAGAATATCCCCTTGCCCAGCCACAAGGAGTACACACTACGTCTCAATGAAAGGACGGAACAAAAAAGAAGTTATACCACCCTCTCCTGGCATATATACCGGCATGGTCGGCACCCGATCTTCATGTTGCCTGATGATTGCGTAAGCATGAAACTTAAAGTAGCAGCAAACAAGCCTTGATTGTCCTTGTTGTTCTGTAGAGGACATTGATCCTAAAAACTTTCTTTCCCTGCCCTCCCCCCCCCCCCCCCCACCCCTCAATCACTCTCACACAAACACACGCAGAAAAGAACAGACGGTTTAATTCGCCTTAGTGCTTTTCGCGTCCCTAATATGCTGAAAAAGTGCTCTTTTTTCAGTGAAAACAGGCAAAAAGTGCTCTTTTTTCAGTGAAGGATAGCCATGATACATGTAATTGTTCAGATATGAACCCAAGCTGAGAAATGAATACGCACTCTTCCATTTATGGGTCCACGAAAGGCAAAACAGTAAGTAAAGTTTAAAAAAACCCACTTTTCACAGCATTCTGCACACTGGGTACAAGCTTCACCAACTTGTTGCCCACCCCCCCCCCCCCCCCGAAAATGCGGCGTGCCAAGGCCCATCCGCATCGAGCACTCGGAAACTGTGACCGCATGCATGAGCAAACAGATTTTAGCACTTTTTCAGCTAAAAAAGCTAAAAAAAGCTCAAAAAGGGCGATATTCACCAAAAAACGCAATAAAGGGCGAAAGAAACGGGCTTTTCCAAAAAGGGCCAAAAATAGTCCATCAGCCAGTGGTGCCAAAGTGAGTCCCCTGTTGCACTTACAAATCGAACACCTGGAACTGACATCAATCGACAGCAAAAGCATCACTGAATCCGACCTGCCTACTTTCCCTAGCGAAACTCTTGCACTCCTTTTGCAGTGCGCCTTGGAAGTTCGACAAATTTCTTCTTCTTCAACAGCCATTACGAGGTTTTCCATCCGTTTTATCAGGACATCCAATGCGTCTTCAGTGAAAAACGTGGAGTTTTGTCAACGTTTGGTGTGGTTTTCCGTGGCGATCGACCTAAAATCGAGAAATAAATCGCCGTCGATTTAAGCAGAGGTGAGTTGGCTTGGAGCACGTACAGATTCAAAAAATATGTGTACATGCGCACCGGGAAGAAGATGAAGATGCTCACCATTTTCAAATAACAAATTCAAAAAACTACATTTAGAAAAGCGATCCTGTCAGCTTTTCTATTATTGTGTTCACATGGCAAGAAAAACGACACCGCTATGCTACGTAAGTTTCTACGTAAGGTGCTCGGTATTTCACTTAGGCTACGTAAGTCTCTACGTAAGGTGCTCGTTAACGGGTGGTAGCCGCGTGCTGTGCACGTGCACTGCAGACATTGTGTTGCAGTGCAGTTCGTGTTTGGATGTGCATGCGCGAGGAACTTTCTCCTTTGGAACTGCTTCTTGTATGAGCTGTTTCGGATATTTCGTCTCCTGGCCTGGCTTAATAACCGCTTATTTCGTTTCGGCGCTGCTGAGACCTCCTTTCGCGGAATATTACTCAATGACAGGTGAGTTGACCAGTTCCCTTTGATTCATTTGCTTGTGTTGATTCTTTCATTTACGAAAAGTGTGCTGATTTTGGGCGGAATGCAATAAATAATGGAAAAGCTGACAGGATCTCTTTTCTAAATTTAGCTTTTCCGCTGCCGAGGCCTCCTTTTACGGAATACTCGATGACAGGTGATCTCTGAGTTGACCGGTTTCCTTCGATTCATTTGCTTATGCTCACCCTTTCATTTACGGAAACGTGTGCAGATTTTATTCGGATTTAGATCCATTTTTATCTCTTTGCCCTTGTCTACAGTGTGCGAAGAACGCGAGTTCACCTTCTTGACGGTAAGGCTTATGTTAGATGTGTTGTCGAAGTACTCATATTCATTGTACATTGGTACGTACGTTACAAGTAAGGCACTGGTCAGTGGCATACTATCGTTGGCAGTTCCCAATCTGGAGGGAAAGGTTCAAGGACCCATTGACCGAGTTTGCATAATAAATTCGCATATCAGGGAAAATCTCCATTGTGGAGAGGTTCAGTAAACTTGTTTGCTTCATACGAAACAAGCCAATGGGTGCAGTCTCGTCTCGTGAAGATCTCGTACTTGTATGATTGGATTTGTTTACTCGAGTCTGGGCTGTTTGATTTATTATTTGTGAGTACCGCCGAGATTGCACTGCCCCAAATAAAGTTTCGTGCCGCCAAAGCAAGAATTACGATCTGCAATCTGTTTGTTGTACCTGCAAGAATGTGCTGTACATGTATCGTACTTTCTCTGTTGCTGTTTCAGTTGCCGTCATGTTGCTAAAGAAACGTTCAGTAGAGAGGTTCTGCAAAACGAAAATTCGAACGAAGTTTCGCGACAGTCCTTGCGAAAGTGTGTACGAATTTTTGCACGAACTTTGCGTTCTGCACATTTTCGTAGTTTGCGCGGGCCAAGCGCACGTACGCCATGACCCGATCTCACGAAAGTGTGTACGACAGTTCATTTCGCGTCCCCTGCAAGTTTCGCGTCCAAAGTTGCGAATTCGTGCGAAGTTTCGCACTTCATGACGTAGAACGAAAGTTTGTACGCATTTTCGGTTTGCGGAACCTCTCTAGTCACTCATTTCTTTCATACGAGACGAGTCAATGAGTTGGTGTGGCTTAGAATCTTTCGCTGTAGAAGAAACCTATTTTGTATGTCTATTGGAGAAATAATTGTATTCACTGGTTATAAAATAGGTTAAGACAAACTACACAGAATAAATACCATCGGTCCCTTGGTGTTCGTCCTAAAGAGGTTAGACTGGATATCATTCATACTCACCAAAAGATGTGTAAGATTTTATTATTATGGAGTGCCTTGTTTATCTCTCAGTACCTCCAACCATAGCCTTGCCCCTTTTATCCTCAGGATCAGTGTAGTTGTTGGAACGAGGTGTCGGACTCCGCAATGTATTTGTTTACATTTTAATACATGTTTATTGTTCCTCCTTTGCTGTGTTGTTTTAGAAAATCGTGGACTAACAGTTTGAAGTCATTGAACTACTTCCAAAAGTTGTATCGACATCAACAGGATTACGATTTCAGTGCAATATGATGCAAGATGACCTTATCACGATAACCCATGATTATAAACCATTATAAACACAGAATCAACAAAAACATGTGTGACACGCACCTGGTTACATTTCTCAAATAAATCTGATCGAGGGTGGGGAAATCTGAAATATCTGAAAGGCAAGACAATTTGATGATAGAGTCATACTACAGCAACATGCACAGAATGACCTCCGTATAAAAAAAAGTATCACCACGGTCCACCACTACTCACATGTTTCCCCGCAGAAGAACATGCTAGTGCCATTTTCTGAAGGAAAGGCTTGCACATCAATGCGTATAATACGGTATTGATATGATGTGAAGACCATCATTTAGGACATTCCATTGATTGGTGACAGAAAAAACAAAAGAAATTATAGCAATAAAAACTGCTTTATGGCAGTTTTCTAAAAAAAGTTATTGTGTTCTAGTCCATGGACGGACCCCGTCTAAAAAGTAAGAAATTAACGAAATGTGATAGCCGAAAATTAAAATTTCACACAAAACCTCACAATAATCACACACAGAATGAAAAGCTACATGTACATGTAGAAGACCTTTTCCCCTCGTGATCCTCTTTCCTATGCATGCATGACATGCATGTTGCCAATTGTTGGTGCAGTACAAGTTTAGTGTTGAAAGCAGCATTTCAAGTGTTGTGATTATTGTGAGGTTTTGTGTGAAATTTTAATTTTCGGCTATCACATTTCGTTAATTTCTTACTTTTTAGACGGGGTCCGTCCATGGACTAGAACACAATAACTTTTTTTAGAAAACTGCCATAAAGCAGTTTTTATTGCTATAATGACTATTGTACTGCAATTGTTGTAGTTACTTGTTTGCAACTACAATGGTATCAAGTAGATAATCAAGCGAGGTACAGAGGGATTGATGGCTGATCAAAGCCCAAGGGACCAGCCCGAGGGCTCTGATCAGTCATCAAGCCCGACTGTACCTCGCTTGAATATGCTTCAGACGATCCCCAACAATTTTTTTGATTTTGAATTCAATCGCTTTATCTTTGGGTGATCTCGAGT